TTTTTTTTTTTTTTTTTTTTTTTTTTTGTACTGGGAATTGAACTCAGGACTTTGTGCTTGCCAGGCAGGCACAACACTACTGAGCTATATCCCCAGCCCTGTCTCATTCTTGACCTAAGTCTCATAACAATTTATAGCAAACTTCTTGGCTAAGTTGACAGCAAGTTAGTAACAAAGGGGAGTAGAGCACCCCCGCCATCCCTACTGATGCTAGTTCTGTGCCAGACACAGACACGACTGGTAGACTAGTATGGCTTCAGAGGCCAAAAGACTCAACACTGAGTAAAGTGGTGAACATTTTGGGAAGGAAGAGCACAAAGGATGCCAGGGGCTGGGAAGTCTTCAGGGCAGACTATTGGTCTATTAAGCTTTGGGGTTACAATCATCTACTCTTCCACAGTGGACACATGTAAAAGTCTGACCCCAAAAGATCCTTTTTATTCTTTTTTTTGTTTTGTTTTTGTTTTTGTTTTTTGAGACAGGGTCTCACTATGTAGTTGAGACTAACCTGGAACTCTGGAACTCACTATGTAGCCCAGGCTAGTCTCAAACTCACAGTGATCCTCCTGCCTCAGCCTCCCAAGTGCTGGGATTACAGGCATGCACTACCACACCCAGTGGGATCCTTTTTATTCTTATAATTTTATAAAGATTCCCAGTCCTCTGCAAGTTTGAACCCTTATGAATGTAGGCAAGCACCTTGACACTGAGGTGGTGTTTGTGGAAGGAAACATTGGTCTAGCTAGAAGCCCGGCTTCCCATGTATAAGCCATGAAAATGAGGCTGTCATCAGGCCCAAGTTTAGGATGTTGTGCTCTGTTCTGACCTTGGCGTGGGTGGTAGCACCTGAAGGATTTTCAAGAGAACATGGGGTCATATGTGTGCTTCAGAAAGCTTGCTGAGGGGCAGAGGACGTGTGGCAGGAGGAGAGGTGTCAGAGGCATGAGTTCAGCAGGGAGAACAATGGGCCTGGGTGGGGAGGGCTCCTGAGGTGGGTGGACAAGAGAAAGAGGACATCTGGAAGTAGAGAACTCAATGGCATATGAGATATTGAGGGACATCAGATGGAGAGCCCCGGAGACTCGAGGGCCTGTGGAGAATGGGCTGAAGAGAGCTCCTGTGTGGCCAGCAGTGGGGAGAGGGAGTACTTACAAAAGGAATAGGGTACCCAGAGATGCTGCCCCTACTGCCCAAGGTAAATTTTAACTGGGAAAATCCCCAGAATGCATGTACCCACCCAAGCATAGAAATCAGTCTTTTTTTTTTTTGTTTGGAAATGTTCTGAGAACTCCTGTGTCAAGTGCTTCCTCTGCTTCCTCAAAGTCCTTCCTACACAACTTTGTCACCTTCCTCTCTGCAGCTCATGCCCTGCTTAGATGGGTCTTTTTATTTTATTTTTTGTTTGGTTTTTGATACCAGGGACTGAACACAGGACCTTGTGCTTGTGAGGCAAGCAGTGGAACCACTGAGCTAAATCCCCAGCCCTAGATGAGTCTTTTTAGACTCCACCTATGAGCCCTAAATTGGTCTATTAAGCTTTAGGGTTACAATCATCTACTCTGCCACAGTAGACACATGTAAAAGTCTGGCCCTCAAAGATCCTTTTTATTTTTATAATTTTATAAAGATTCCCAGTCCTCTGCAGGTTTGTACCCAGGGCCTGATGAATGCAGGCAAGCACCTGTCAACTGAGCTACATTACCACCTCTTTTTACTTTTTATTTTGAAACAGTGTTTCACAAGTTGCCCAAGCTAGGCTAAAACTTGCAGTTGTCCTCCCCGCTTCTGAGTAGCTGTCATTACAGGTGTATACCACCATGCCCTGATGTCTTCTGGGTTTTGTTGGGCCATAGTTCATACCAGACTTAGTTCAACAGGGGAATTTGAAGAGTTCCTTAGAGTTCTGAAATTCAAGATTTGGCTTGCAAAGATGCCAGGGAAATGAAGAGGAGAGAGGCCAGGTCAGCCCTGCAAGCCCAGAGTATCACTTCCAAGAAGCCAGAGGCTTTTGAAAGGGTGGAATGACAGAGGTCCCCTCCCTGCTTGGATCCTGAGCCTGAACTCTTAAGCATAAGGAGAGCACTCTCCCAATGTTTTCACAGAAAGCCCTGCTCCTGAACAGCCTCTACTTAATGCCAATGGAATGGACAACCCAGGAGTCATTCTCAAAGTGACTCACCCTCCTGTGGTGGGTAGCGATGGCTCCTGCATGTTCTTGGAGGACAGCATCATCTACACCACACAGATGGACAACCTCAGACACATGGCATTGATAGCCAGCCCCCAACCCCGAGGTGAGGCACTGGAACTATGCCTGGCACAGTACTTCATTGTAGAGATGCTGGAGCCCCCACCCAGGGTATTGCAGGGACAGAGTATCCCTTGGGAGCCCTGCAGTTCTCCCCATCCCCATGGTGGTCTCCAAGGCTATGGGTAGGTATGGCTATATCAACTCTCTCTCCTCCACAGAGGTGACTTTCCTGAGTTTCTCTCTGTCCTGGGAAGAGATGTTCTATGCACAGAAATGTCACCGCTTCCTGACTGATGTCATCCTGGAGTCCATCAGACAAAAGGACCCCAAAGCCATCACAGCCAAAGTGGTCTCACTGGCCAGTGGGCTGTGGGTATGTGTGATAGGCCCCAGGCTCTGAGGCACCTTGTACCTTCTCCACCTAACCTCCTTCCCCTGCAGTAAGTGGTGTAAGATAAGAGGAAACAAGCTGAGATGGGGGAAAGGGAAAGAAGTTAGGTATGAAAGTGGCAGAAAGAGTGGAAACAAGGAGGCAGAGCAGTTTCATCTGGACCAAGGATTGGCCAAGTAGATTTGGAGTGCCTGTTCCTAACCCCTGTACCTCCCACAGGCCCAGGGAAGTCTTTGGTCTGCACACCACTCTGAGGGGCTGGGAGATGTTCACACCTTGCCTGACCATGTGTTCTCCTGGCAGACACTACACATCAGCCCCAAACAGTTTGTGGTGGATTTGCTGGCTATCACAGGCTTCAAAGATGACAGACACACCCAGGAGCGCCTATACAGCTGGGTGGAGGTAAGGCCCACCTGCACCCCTGGGAATGGTAACCTTGTGGATGCCTCAGATGGACAGTCTTGCTGCATGAGGGCCAGGCCAGCAATGTCCAGAAGTCTAGGCAGCTAGGGCTCTGGTCCCTGGTCCCAGGGAGGGAGAAACAGTAGCTGAAATTAGCCAATCCAGAGAAGTCAAAAAGCAACATTCAGGCCATTTTTTTTATAGTTTTCTTCCAAAAATAATTAACTGTGCTTTTATTCCTTAACTTCCCTGGCCACACTTGAGGAAACGTGATATGCACCCAAGCCTTGCACTTTCAGCAGTCAGGCCTTTTTAACCAGTGTACTGCACCTACTTAGCAATGATGTCACTATCTTTTCATATTTAAGCTGCTTTAAAGTATTTTTTGTAAAGGAAAAAAATAGGGCAATAATTTTTCTGATTCCTTAAAATAATTTCAGCATTGTGGGTGGGAAATATTTAACTAATTTCTCATTATTCTGGCATTTCTGTAATCAAGTGCCTTATTATAACAAAGTTCACCATAAACAAATTAATGCCCAATTACTATCAGCCCTCTGGCCTACTATTATCTATTGTTTGTAAAAGTGAAGTCAGCATCTATGGTTGGAAAGTGGAAAACCTTTTTTTTGAGCATCTAGTCTTTCTGCTCAGTTCCCTGTTAGCCACTCCTAGCCACAGCCCTGTGAGATGCCTTAGGCAGAAATGAGCCCCAGAGCATCAAACATTACCAAGAACAGGACTGCCCTGTCCATGCCCCACCTGGAGCTAAAGTAGGCAACTATCCATGAATTCAGGGCTAAGACAGGCCTTTCCTTGCAGCTCACACTGCCTTTCGCCAGGAAATATGCCCGCTGTGTGGACCTGCTCATCCAGAGAGGCCTGTCTAGGTCTGTCTCTTACTCTGTCCTGGGCAAGTACTTACAAGAGGGATAGGGTACCCAGAGATGCTGCCCCCACTGGTCAAGGTTCATTTTAACTGAGAAAGTCCCCAGAATGCATGTACCCACCCAAGCATAGAAATCAGTCTCATTTTTTTGTTGTTGTTTGTTTGTTTTATTATGAACAAGTAAAACTGTAAATCACAACTCAAAGGACTTAGACTCCTCTGAGATACCAAAGGTCTAACAACCAGTGAGGTAACAGCAGACAACTCCAACCAAAAGCTATGCAAGAAGCATCAAGTCAAAATAAAGAGACTGGCCCAGAAGACAAGGGTCTTGCTTGGGAAGCCAGGACAGGAAAGGCCAAAGGCCCAGTGGGGTGGGTTTGTCCCTGGGGGAGTGACCAGCATTAAGGCCAGGGACTGGGGAGTAGCTTCTGGGAACCCACCTATGTCTCTCCAGAGGACTAGGGGAAGCAGTAACTGCCCACAGCCATATGGTACTTCATCAACATAGAGCATGGAAATACCTGCTCTCTGTCCTGGCCTTTTCCTAATTTGTAACTGAGATGGAAGCCAGAGAGGGGACAGAAGAAGAAGACATGGGGCCAGGAACCTGGGTCAGAGTGCTTGTTCAGGTTCTGCAGCCAGACTCCCCTGAAGAGGCCCCAGGCAATGGCCACAGATATCAGAAAGAATAGTCAACATGGCTACACATGTAGGTGGTCAAATAAGATGGCCCAGGTGCTAGCGATGCCCTGGTCATGAAGATATAGCCAGGTGATAATGTTCCTTGGAGCTGCTGGATCCATAGTTCCCCTTCAAGCCTGGGTTCAGACCTGTGGTGCCAGGTGAGGTGTCAAGATCTGCTTTCTCGGTTCTGGGTTTAAGGCAGGGAAAGATTCTAGCCTACCTATCACCACCCTCACCTAAAGGAAAGGCAGCCAGAGCCCAGCCTGGGCTGGTGAGGGACTGATGGGCATAAAGCAATAGTACTC